TTCGCGCCCTCTCAACGTTTTGACGGCAAGACCGATTAACTGTTCAGAAGAATAGCTGGCAAGCGTACGTAAACTTTTGATAAGTTTAAATCAGGCCAGGACATTTATATGGGAAAGGGATAAAAGGTAAGCATACGGGCAGTTACGTTCATAATTACATGTAAATTAGTCATGGGAATAGGGCAGGGAGGTTGGGCTTGATAATAGGCGGCTGGTTACGCGACAATGAATGCTATTTTCAACCAACCCGGTCCTGCACGGTAAACGTAAGGATAAGTTTCCAGCTCAGACCACTTCCAAGTAGTTGGTCCCGTGGAGCAGAGACATGAACGGTAGCAGAAACGGGTCTCTGATGATGAATCCGCGATGGATGTCGAAATGTCAGGCCAATAAATATATTGTCCCAGCGATCGAGTCTTCTTCTCCTCAATTGTTTCCTGGGACACGCATGTTCGCTTGTATTGGCAAGTTAAACACTGTCCAAAGATCTCGCAATTATTTTTTTGTTGCACTTCCGGAGTGTCTGATGTTGGGCTCCTGTACGAGTTCGAAAGCTCGAACTAACTTCTAGACTGTCCTATAACGTTGCACTGAATACTCCTATTTGAGTCTTAGGTAGTTTAGACTAATGCGAAGCCCGTATGCCCACGCTATCATGACTATTTCACATAACAATACGAATCCGGTCACAGTTTACGCAGCACAGTAATGACCGGCTGTGGGGTCCGCTTTCGTCCTCTTCTCCAACCCATGGTTACAATGTGGTTAGCGGATGCCGGCAAGTACGTGAGAAATGCACATTCCTCCTTTCTTCTACTTACCAACAATGTTTCTCAGACAGTCAAGATTTGTCAAATCTGAGATGTCAGAGCACATGCTCAGAATCCGAACACTGCTTGGGTTATTGCGTATGTATGATCAGGTTACGACTTGGATGCCAAAAGGAGGCAAGTTTACTTCTTCCATGCCACAGACAAGGTAAACGGAACCTGGACATAAGAAGTTTAGCTCGACGAATTTCTTTCGGAGTTGTGGAGTCTGCACTTAGGGTGCCTTTTTGGCGTCCAAGTGCTGGGTGTGCCTAGAATATCACAGCCATCTGGCCAAGTCCAGCTTAATAGGAGACTGCCCGAGCGAGCGGTGCA